TGTAAACCGGCTGAGTGCATTGCGTTTCGGATGGTTGTCCAGTGCTGATCTACGCTACTTGGTGGGGTAGCCTTGTGGCCAACTCGTTTTGGCACTGGGCTAGTACGGCCGAGTCAGAGAGCTTGACGAAGTCGAGCTGTTTGCATCGCATCTTTTTGCGGCCACCAAGACGCATAGACAACTTGGCACGAACCAGTGCGTGGTCGGAGTCTAAGCAGGTAGACCAATACGAACCGCAGTCTTTCGCACATCCTCTCCATCTATAGCTAAAAGCTATATGGTCAATCTGAATCCACATCTGTGCCGAAGAGGGGTTACGCCAGGTGACAAGGTGACGCTTAGAATGTCTGAAGTTCGTGCTAACGAAGAATAGACCGTGTTCTTAGCATATGCTAAGAAGTCTATCCCCATTATCTGAACGACAGCAATCAAAGCCATTACGGTCACCAAAGTGAGTCTCATCGAGTGACAGACGGCCAATGCGTGCATTTAGGTCACCGGCCAGGAGCATGCTATCCGCCTTAGGTGCTTTGAGAAGAAGCTCATGTATGTTGTGATAGAAAGCGTCCTTAACTGTATCCGAGCTACAGTCTGTGGGAGCGTATGCAGAAACCACGAATAGGCATCGTTCATTTGGTTTCTGCTTTTTAACTTCAATTGAGCCTCTGAGTCTCACTGCGCACAATCGGCTATCTATTGGGATCCAATCCAATAGACCAGCCTTGGCCCTGGCAATACCAATGCCTGCTTGACCAGACGCTGAAGCGATAGGGTCTCCGGAGACGCGTAGTTGAAACGTTTCTTTTAGGTTAGAAGACGTCAATCGGATCTTGGATGCGTGTTTCCGAGAAGCGGCACACCTCAATTTCTAGACTNTCGAGGGTAAGAGCCAAACCTGCTCGTTGTTCCATACGCCTTAGAGTTCTTACGTTGAATGAAGCCAGTTTGAACGCAGAATGAGGTCGGAGGAATGGAACGGTCGGTTCCGAGACAGATGTCAAGGAGGATAGCAGCGAGTTACAACATGAAACTACGTCAGTGGAACCATTCGGGGTGGGACAAACAGTGAAAAAAATGGGGGTACTGTATGTGTGTGTGTGGGGGGGGGGTGGAAGTGTTGCGCGCAGATTTTAAGAGAAAGCTTTGCAGAAGTGTAATATTCTGTGACATGCGTATGTATGTCCGAAAGTCGATGGTTAGTTTGTGGTCGTGGTACTACCCGGTTGCCCAGACCGAGGATTTTACTTGGGGGACCCTACCCGGAGCCTTTGATTAAAGAACCTGACCCACAAGGCAGTGGGGTGGAGTAGAGTCCACGATCATCTGGAAGCCGGTGACTGCGGGACCAATTCATACGCCTTTCGGATGCGGTCAACTATCCAGGGTACCCAGATTGCCCTTGAGCCTCGCACTTGCCGGTGAGCATCACGGTGGTCAACTATGGAGACCGGTTCGGTTGCGCCGAAGATTGGTGTCACTATGAGCTTCTTACGCCAGGTGTGGGTGTTTTGGAATTAGGGTTTAGCCAACTCCCCTAGACTGACCACCAGTGGTCAGTCAACCCGGTAAAAAGTTTCGGGCATTCTCCTTTCCCCCCACACAATTTTGTAGGCCACGGTGCGTTATCCTCTAAGTACGTGCATACATGCATACGCATGCGCTAACAACAATTTTTACATTCGATTAACAAATGATGTAGTCTGTATTTCGTTCACTACTCCGGGGATGGCGTGGNGGGGGGGGGGGGGGGGGGTTAAGTACTATTCGGGACCTGTTGCCCTGGACAGCGATGGGTTCATTTGTTCGGTCTCGGGAGTAACTCAACGTTGTCTGAACCCCGGTAGGCCGATCTCGACACATATACACACGCGAGCGCATAGGACGAAGACTGTGTGTGTGTGCTCGTGTAACCAGGCGAGGTTCAACCTACCCAGCAGCCTATGGCGATTATCTCGTATTATGAGCTACTCATAATGTTGCCAGAAGTGAAACTGGGATTTCGATCTCTTTCTCACGGGGATGCTTCTTTCTGCATTTCTTCAAAATTGTACTTAGTGTACCTTTTAAATCATATTGTGAGTATGCGAACAGGACAATTACCAAGATAGTTCAGTGCATTAACTAAGCAAAATTGGAAATTCACGGATGGGCATTCAGTCAAAAGTAATGGGGTAGGGGATGTGAACCACAACATAAAACGTCACGTAAATACCTCGTAGATCGCTTTAGCCAACATTTTCCCCAGGAATTCGAACAACAGCAGGTGATTTTCCTGTAAATGTGACGACGGTGATGGATAGAGACGTTGATCACTGGTCACCCGGAACAGATTCAGGCTCGGATCGAACACACGATGCAACGTTTCTTCCAGAAATTCCTTGAATACACCATCCAAATCGATACCAACCTCGTCCAAACCCTAAGAAGAGAGGTGGGAGTAGGTGGCGATGAAAAGCAAGCGGCGGAAAGGAGTAAGCAGCTGACAGAGAGCAACACATCCCATAAGATTTGCCTGTGATGAACACTATTTCGCATTACACAAAAAAGAACCCAGAACAATCAACTGTTTTTCCGTGCGTGTCCCCAAAAAATGTTCAGAAATCATCCCGAAACCAAGCTGGCTCAACAGCTTTTCAGTTTCCAGTTTGAACAACCAATAACCACGCATATTCGTGCGCCGGTTTTGGTTGCTGTCTCTTGGCTGCCCGTTTGAATGAATAATAGGAAAAGAAAGGAAACTTGAAAGTGGAGTCGAAAACAAAATGGAGAAGTTCAGTGGTCTAAGGTAGCAAAGAGATTGAGAAGATGCACGAACGCCACTGGCTGCGACACCCAGCCACATCACTCAGTGTCCCTAACCATCGGTTACGATCATCACAAGGTCCCCAGCCAGGGAGCCTAACAGGACCTATGTGACCCAGACTCCTGGTTAGGGTTTTCATACCCTCGTGCCAGGTCTTAGCTTGACCGCCCTTCGTTTTTTTCCAATCGCTACCAGCCTTGGCGAACATCGCCGTGGTAACCTATCTGGTGACATGCGTAGCACATGTCCCAACCAGCGTAAGCTTTGGAGGTCGATCACTTGTTCCAGTGGACGACCGCGACTTCCTAAAACTCTACACCTAATCTCAGCATTGCTAGTCCGGTTACCCCACCAGACTCGTGCAATGCTACGTAGACAGCGGTGTTCGAACACAATCTATTTTTATCCTGTTCCCTTAGTGGCCAAGTCTCTGCACCGTAGAGCAGGATTGGTCGAACTGCTGCAGCGTACAC